TCCCCCCGCCGACCGGCGCTGCATCCCCACTCCGATCGTCACCGTGCCGCGGCGCTTCGTCAGCCTCTGCTCTCGTTGCCCACCCTCTACACGTGGTGCACCACTTCTCGTCAGCGTCCTTCATCTCTTCCGCGCACTCTTTGCAGAACGCTGGCCTTTCCTTCCTCTGGAACTCGTACTTCGAGAACGCCTCTACCAGCAACCTCCGCCGGCAGCGCTCGCACTGGTCTCTAGGCATCAACTCCGCCTCCCACTCATCCCAATTCACATTCTCCCCTCGCAGCACCTGCAACAGTTTTTTCGTGCCCGCCATCTCGCCTGCGTTGTACGGTCTCCTGTCAAACGGCCGGAATATGAGCAGGTTCTCCCGTCTGCGGACGCGCGTGATGGCAACGTAACTCGACATCCAACTCACGCCGCGCCCTCTTTCGAGGTCAGCTATCACTGCTGCCATGGTCCGTCCCTGGGCAGAATGCGCCGTTACCGCCAAAGCCGGGGTTATCATAAATTGAGTACGCTTCACACTCAACACAGGATGCTTTCGGTATCCGTCCAAGAACCATTGACGCCCTTTCGATGGGAATATCGGATACAGCCCCGGCTCCCACCCTGGCAGGCGCCACTTCGTCGTATGGAAATCCAACACAATCATCCTCGGAAGATGCAACAACACTTCCTCCTCCTCATCTCCCAGGACCTCGTCCTCGTGCAGCACCCATCTATGGATCGTCGCTGTGCGCCCCCGCAGAAGCTGTTTCTTTGACCGATCCAAGTGGTCTCCCAGAGCCACGGGCATCCCCTTCGCCAGCGGCAGCCACCCAGGCAAGCTTGCGCACTCCTTCTCGTGGTACCCCAGCCAACGTACCTTATCCTCTACCGTGTACGGCCGCCTCTGTTCCCCTCCATGGCAAGCGCGGTCCCTCGCTGCGACCCACAGCAGCTGTTCTCCTCGCTCCTTGGCCCACTGCACGGCTCTCTGCTTCCCGACGTGGCAACGAATGTCCTGATTCGCATAAATAGCGACCGCCTCCAAGAATTTCCCCTCCCGAAACCGCGCGTCTTCTGGCGACGTTGCGACGAGCTTCCTCTTCTGACGCTCCACTTTGCACGCCTCACATTCTAGCTCGTTCTCCTTCGCAATGGCCTCTTTGTCTTCGAGACAACGTGCGTTCCCGCACAACGGTGCGCCGTTTACCCACGACCCAGGCACATCCGTCGGTCTGCCATGCAAAAAATTGTGCGTGCGTTCAGACAAGTTGCCTCGGCGGAACTCGTCCTGAACTCCCAGGAACCAATCGTCCTGTTCCTCCACGCGCTTGCACTCCGTCAACTCAGTCATTCCCTGCACTGCGCCTTCGCCGCCGGCGCCCCAAAAGATATACTGCCCGTGGTCCTCCGTGGCACCCGGCGCGTATTTCCTCGCGTTCTTCAAGTACGACGTCGGCAGCGCATTAATGGCTGTCCCAGACGGCGGCTCCAACTGATAGAAGTCTCCGCAGAACAACACATTCACGCCTCCGAAAGGCCTGGGCACGCCGTCTCCATCTACCTTCGCTCCATTGGCTGCGGACATGCACGAACGCAACTGCGAGTCCAGCTCTGCCAGGAAGTTCGCACTGACCATGCTGACCTCGTCCACTATCAACCACTTCCACTGCGACATACGCTGCGCGGCCAACTCCTTCTTCGTTTTCGTCTTCGACTCCGAGCTAGCATCGCCCCCTGCATTCGGCTCCTTCGTCTTGTTCACACCGAGCCCAAATGCACTGTGAATTGTATTCCCGTCCAGAGCTGACGCGTTCGTAGCCTGCAACGCTGCCACCTGGAAATCTATGCCGTGCGTCCACCCCATCTCTTTTTCAAACAGTTCCTTCCGTATCTTCTCTATCACGAAACTCTTCCCGGTCCCTGGACCACCATGCAACATCCACACGAGGGGCTGCATATCAGCACAACTCTTGCCTGTTTTCGCGCCGCTCGCGGAACCCGCGAATTCTTGCGCCAGCACCCGATCTGTCACCTTCTCAACGACGCTACGCTGCCTCGCGTTCAACCCGCTATCCGCCAGCCCTCGTCTCCACTTCCGCACGCTAGAGGCCGATGCTTTTTTAGCCGCCACCACTTCTGGGCCACCTTCCGTCTGCGCCTCCTCCTCCTCCTCCTCGACTATCAAAAAAGAGGCGCGGCCATCGTCGTTGCGATCATCATCATCATCATTATCATCCTCATCACCACCACCACCACTATCATCATCATCATTGCCATCATCATCATCACCAGCATCACCATCATCATCATCATCCCATTCTACTGCTCCTACTCGTGCTGATGCTCGCCTCCTTCTCCTCATCATCGTCCTCCTCCTCCTCCGCCTACTCCTACTCCTACTCCTCCCCTGCCTCGTCCTCCTCCTCCTCCTCCCCAGTCTCCTCCTCCTCTTCCTCCCCCCTCTCATCAACATCATCATCATCATCATCATCATCATCATCATCATCATCATCATCATCATCATCATCATCATCATCATCATCATCATCACCATCATCCTCCTCTTCCTCCTCCTCCTCCTCCTCTTCCTCCTCCTCCTCCTCTTCCTCCTGACTCCTCCTCCTCTTCCTCCAAATCTGCTCCGAAAGCGAAACATGTTGGAAAAGAAAATGACCAAACCGCCTGTGCTTAGATTGCTGAGACGAACGAATCGCCTGAGTCGGATTGATGACTGAGTCTGAGTGATGAGAGAGCATGAGTGAGTCTGAGTGATGAGTGAATCTGAGTGGTGAGTCTGAGTGATGAGTGGTGTGTCTGAGTGAAGACTGAGTCTGAGTGATGAGTGAGTCTGGATGAGTGAGTCTGAGTGATGAGTGAGTGAGGAATCACAAACCCCATCTTTGGATATGGGGAATCAAGAACCCCATCTTAGGATATGGCGAATAACTTACGTGTGTGTCTGAGTAATGGGTGTGGTGTTCTGTCCTGTTCTGTGTCCTTCCGGCGCGGTCCGCCAATAACAAAAACCCCATCTTTGGATATGGGGAATAACAAGAACCCCATCTTTGGATATGGGGAACAAGAACCCCATCTTTGGATATGGGGAATAACAAGAACCCCTTTCTTAGGATATGGGGAACAAGAACCCCATACTTAGGATATGGGGAAAACTCCACGAAAGGGGCGGAGGGAAATACCCCCCCGCCGCCCCCCTTAAGTGCTGAAACCAGCGAATCGCCTGAGCCATCCTCGCAAACTGCTCCGAAAGCGAAACATGTTGGAAGAGAAAATGGCCAAGCCGCCTGACATCCCCACAAAAACCCGCGAAAGGGGCCGAGTGAAATGCCGGACTTTGCGCCTCCAGCTGATTTAAACACAAAAGTTGAACAGATGTTTAGCTGCACGCTGCCAAGCTGCTGGGAGGATGTGGAGAGGAGAGAAAAGAGGTTACCTCGCATGCGACATCACCTACCGTTTAGCGCGTGGCCCGCGAGTGCGAACATCTTGTCTACCTGTTTAGCGGCGGTAGCGGGCGCGTGAGCTCACTTCCAAGGCTTTCGCAGATCCGCCGACCCCTCGTGGTTCTCTGGGCGCGTGAGATTCCCCTCCAAAAATTCTTTCTCCCCCACCCCCCAGGGGCCCCAAAACTGGGAATTTGACCCCCCCCCCAGGCCTGGAAGGATTAAGGGTCCCCCGACGACCCAAGAGGGCCCCAAGACGCACCCAAGACGGTTCTAGAAGGCCCCGAGTCTCTGAAAGATCGCTCTAAATCGCCCAAAATAGCCCCAAGACGGCTGACGAGCCTTCCAGGAGCACTTCCAAGAGGCCAAACCAGAACTGTTCTGAAAAAATCTGCGGAGGATTTTGGTATTCTCGCCTTTTCGGCATTCTGCCGATCCATGACGTCCCTAGAAGCCTCCAAGACCACTCCAAGACGGCCCAAGAAGCTTCCAAGACGGCCCCAAAACAGCCCCACAGGGCGCCCAAGACGGCCCAAGAGGCGCCCAAGACGGCCCACGAGGGCCCCCAGACAGCCTCAAGAGGGGCCCAAGAAGGGGAACGCGAACCGAACCTCCGGCCCCAAAAAGCCCGAAGGAGGCCCCCAAGAGGCCCCCCAAGAGGCCTCAAGAGGCCCCCCAGATGCCTACAGGGCGCCCCAAAACGATCCCCAGAGGCCTCAAAACTGCCTCTAGGAGGTTCCCGAGAGGCTGCCCACGAGACCCCAACGAACATCCAAGAGGCCTATGACCCACAACCCAGGCACGGCGGTGAGATGGGCCGAAGGCCATTACGTAGATATAGGGGTCGGCGGATGTGGCGCAAGCCTGTAGAATAAATGCAAGGCATTGTAGAGCAATCCGAGGCAATGCAAACCAATACCAACTCGAGCCGAGCAATGCAAAGCAATGCACTGCGATGCATAACAATGCAAACTATGCAAACATTGCCCAACGGCGAAAGCAACGACGGGCGGGAACGACCCAGCCGGACCAACTCTGGGGCCCAATGGCGACAGCGGCAAGACCGGCACCTGAGCTAAAATACATTAGAAACGAACAAAAAACCTTAACGCAAAAACCGTTTGGGGAACTATCATCTTCATTTGCCTTAGGATATGGTCGGACGGCTGTCTCCACACACGCAAAATCCATATCGCAAATGCTAACGGAAATACTTGCTGCCCACCTTGAGGCGTTGATCAAAACAACAAGAGGCTCGTATTGTAACGTATATTTAATTATGTTTATCATATCATGCATCAACTACCTTACAACATGCTAACCTGTGACATGTATGAATATGATAAGGTTGTCCGAGTTTCGTGACTGCAGTAAGTTGTAGGCCCAAAGCCAATATCATGCATGAGCTCACGAGTCTTTCTTGAAGACCCCGCGGTCCGTGGAGAGCCTCTGGAACCCGAAAGGTGCAGTACCCGCCTCCCGCTGGATTCCTTACTCTTTCATGGGGAATGGTCGGCCGAGGCAGGCGACGGCGGGCGGCCAGCCGCGGGCCTCGCTGGCCGCCTCCGCCACGGGCGACAGGCCGCCGCGGACGGCGGCGCTGCGGAGGGGCGCGGGCGCGGCGCCTCGCGCGGGCGGCGGAGCGGCGGGGGCAGCCACGTGCCACCCAGCAGCGCGCCGGGAGAGGTCCAGCGAATCCCACCAGCCCTTTGGGCGTGAGTGGTTTAGCGAGCTCTCTCTGTTCTCAACCCCCCTTCTTCCCCTTCGGGGAGGGGTTTACCCCTCCCCCTACCCCCTCCCCCTGGACCTGGAGAGAGGGTTTCGCGGGTGGTCAGAGGGTCAGTGTTCTATCCCTGGGAGGGCTAAAATTCGACACCCCTCACGAGGATCGTGGCCCCGACGGGGGTACTGACAAAAATGCTCGCCCCATCTGTGATCGATCGCCCCAAAGATGGCCCCAACAGGCCCCCAAGACGCTCCAAGAGGCGCCCAAGAGGGCCCCCGGACGCTCCCAAGAGGCTCAAAAGAGAGCCCAAGAGGCCCCTCTACGATCTCCAAGAGGCCTCCAAACTGCCTTGGATACGACTACTTGTACTACTACTACTACTACTACTACTACTACTACTACTACTACTACTACTACTACTACTACTACTACTACTACTACTACTACTACTACTACTACTACTACTACTACTACTACTACTACTACTACTACTACTACTACTACTACTACTACTACTACTACTACTACTACTACTACTACTACTACTACTACTACTACTACTACTACTACTACTACTACTACTACTACTACTACTACTACTACTACTACTACTACTACTACTACTACTACTACTACTACTACTACTACTACTACTACTACTACTACTACTACTACTACTACTACTACTACTACTACTACTACTACTACTACTACTACTACTACTACTACACTACCACTACCACTACCACTACCACTACCACTACGGCTACTCCTACTCCTACTCCTACTCCTACTCCTACTACTCCTACTCCTACTCCTACTCCTACTACTCCTACTCCTACTACTCCTACTCCTACTCCTACTCCTACTCCTACTCCTACTCTACTACCTACTCCTACTCCTACTCCTACCTCCTACTACTCCTACTCCTACTCCTACTACTCCTACTCCTACTCCTACTCCTACTCCTACTCCTACTCCTACTCCTACTCCTACTCCTACTCTACTCCTACTCCTACTCCTACTCCTACTCCTACGACTACTACTACTACTACTACTACTACTACTACTACTACTACTACTACTACTACTACTACTACTACTACTACTACTACTACTACTACTACTACTACTACTACTACTACTACTACTACTACTACTACTACTACTACTACTACTACTACTACTACTACTACTACTACTACTACTACTACTACTACTACTACTACTACTACTACTACTACTACTACTACTACTACTACTACTACTACTACTACTACTACGAGGGGACCGAACGACTCGCACCAGGACGAGGTGCCCGAACGCCTCACACCACGAGGAGCCCGAACGACTCACACCAGGACGAGGGGCCCGAACGACTCACACCACGAAGAGCCCGAACGACTCACACCACGAGCCCGAACGACTCACACCACGAGGAGCCCGAACGACTCACACCACGACGAGGGCCCCGAACGACTCACACCACGAGGAGCCCGAACGACTCACACCAGGAGGAGGGGCCCGAACGACTCACACCAGGACGAGGGGCCCGAACAACTCACACCACGAGAAGCCCGAACGACTCACACCAGGACGAAGAGCCCGAACGACTCAAACCACGAAGAGCCCGAACGACTCACACCAGGAAGAAGGGCCCGAACGACTCACACCAGGACGAGAGGCCCGAACGACTCAAACCACGAGGAGCCCGAACGGCTCACACCAGGACGAGGGGCCCGAACGACTCACACCACGAGGAGCCCGAACGACTCACACCAGGAAGAGGGGCCCGAAGGACTCACACAAGGACGATGGGGCCGAACGACTCACCCCACGAGGGGCCCCAACGACTCCCACCAGTCGTCGTCGTCGTCGTCGTCGTCGCGGTTGTGGTCGTCGTCGTCGTCGTCGTCGCGGTCGAGATCGTCGTCGTCGTCGGGTGCGTCGTCGTTGCTAGGATCATCGCTGTGGTCGTCGTCTTCGCTAAATCCCTCTTGCCTCCCACCGCTTTCTCTCCCTCCTCCTCCGCCTCGTCCTTCTCCCGCTCCCACCACAAGGAGGATGTACAAGGAGGCGGGAGGAAGGAGGAACAGGGGAGATATGCGGGGCCAGGCGGAAACACGCCTGAAAAACACGACTGTCGGCATGCTTCGCAAGAGTTGCTGTTTTGAGATGGGCTGGTGGGGATACGCGAAGCGTGAAGAATATCCCTCTGTCGCGATGGGATCAGCAACGACTCAGCTGCGCATTTCGGCTGACGGGGAACCCACAATCAAAAGTTTGGAATCGAGAACCTTGGTTGTACGTAAGTGCACGAGGAGCACCCGGGGACGACCGGCCCATTTAGGAACCAGTGTACGTCACCACATCGCACCGCGACAAGCGCGATGGGCGACCATCCTCGCACAACTGTGGGTGAGCGAGCGAGCGAGCGAGCGTCCATCTGGCTCTGCTGCGAGCAGGGCCGCGCCCAGATGGACGAGACATGGAAGATCGCGGCCCTAACAAAAGCTCTGTCTGGCATGTGATCTCAATGCCGCGGTTACTCGCCAGATTCCTCCACGACTCCGCCCCTGTGGGTGGCCGCAGGTCAATCGAAGCTGGCGGTGCGCAGGGAGGGGGGAGGGACGGGCGGTCCTTGCCAGGCTCTAAGGCCGTCGAGGAAGAGGCTCGGAGGCTGGGAGGGGGGCCTCTTGAGGAGCACAGTTTCACCGATGATCGAGGGTCAAGGGTCGATGAGGATCGAGGAGAGACGGGGGGGATCGAGGACGATCCTGGATCCCCAATCATCCTGGATCCTCGATCCTCGGCCTCAATCCTCACTGGCATGGCCTTGGCCCTCACTGGCTGCCGCCCCCCCCCCCCGCACCCCAGGTGGAGACACATGGGCTGCGGGATGTGGCGGGACGGGGGGCGGCGGAGCTGAGACGTCATGACCCAGTGGGCCCTCGCCCGGCCGCCTTACTGCGCGCCGACGAGCCGAGCAGCGCAGGCGCGACGGCACCAGGATGCTGGGACGGAAACAAACATACTTCTGTGATCTGGACCCAGGCGCCCGATGTCACGCAGATTGTTCGCCACCGGGCTAGGAAACTCGCACCCCTACCTCAAGACAAATGCTTCGCTCCCGCTAGTTTGTTGTCCTAGGGCCCGAAGCGACCATTCAATAGCCGACCCCGGGGAAACGACGCTAAAAATGGACAAACAAAGCGAAGTCGAAGTCTGGGTCATCCTCCTCCCTCCTCCCTCAAGATCGATCTCAGGACACACCTTAGAGCGCGTGCTGACCAGAATCTCGAGGCTGACCCAGCTAATTCCATAAAGGGTGTCTAGACCCCCCCCTACTCGAAACTAATTATCTGTTCGACGCCCTTATTGACGAAATTGGGACCAACCAAAACTGGAACAACAACTATTTCTCCACGGCAAAGGCCGCGCAACAACGACGACGACGACGTCGACGAAGACGACGACAACTGCGATGAGGAGGACGAGGAGGAGCAGAAGGAGCAGGAGGCATACGCGGACGACTTCTACATCGCGGGGTCTGCTGCCAACCTCGCGGCCTCGTACGACGTCTTGGCTGCCGAGCTCGCCCGGGTGGGCTTGCGGTGCGCCACGGAGAAGATGAAAAACTGGCTGACCTCGCCCGAAACGGCGCAGACACTCACGGACACGCTGCCTCACGCCGTGGTGCTCGACCTTCCCGTGTTGGGCTGGACGTTCTCCCACCACGACCGCGAAGACCACTTGGCGGCAGGGTTTGGCACTTCCGAGCAGGGGATGCAGAAAGCGGCATCTCTGGTGCGCGACACGGCTGCTATTCTCAAAAACGCCCGACAGCGAAGACTTTGCTGCCAGATCGCCGGTGCGGGTCTGCGTTACGTCACGGTCGGGGCCCCCCAGCACTTGCTCCGTTCGCGCCTCTGGAGTGAACAGGCACTCGCGGCCTACAACTGTGTCGTCGCGGACGCGTGGGCCGACCTAATCAGTGTCGACCAGACCTCGGAGCAGATCGCGATTGGCAACCTGCCTCTTCGCGACGGTGGCGCCGCTTTTGGGTTGGCCATGCCGCGGGGGTCCGCTGCTTGTCACGCGAGATGGCGCCAACACCTCTGGCGACAGTGCGCTGGGGCTGCCGTGTACACAGAGCAGGGCGTGCGCGCAGCTTTCCCCAGACTCGCGGCGGAGCTGCAGAAGGCGAGAGCTGACTTGACGGCTCGGGCACCAGCGCTGGTCGGTGACGTTCAACTGGACTTCACCGCCGAACCTCACAAGCGCACGCAAGGGATGATCATGGACGCCGTGGCCCTCTGGGTGCGCGAGACCACCCTCAACGGCGTCCTGGATCCCTTCCGGGCGCGGCTGCGGCAAGCAAAAGGCGCTGGTGCCGGCAGCTTCCTGTGCATGCCCCAGCCCGGCGACCAGGTCATATCGGACGAAACCTGGTGGATGACCCTGCGCAGGCGCTTGCTGCGTATAGTCGAGAAGACGGACTTTCCAGCGCAGGTGGAGATACATTGCCTCCACTCCAGAATGCAGGGTGTTTGCGGGGCGCAGCTGGATGGCCTTGACGGGCTCGTGCGCTCAGAGGGGGGGCAAGATCGGCGGGGAGGTTGTGGGGGCCACATCGAGACCCGCGACATCTTCTGGCGCTTCGCCAAGGCCCACATCGACCCTGGCGCGCTCCAGGAGCAGCGGCCCGAGAGCTTGCGGGCGCCGGCCCTGGTGGACGCGACGGCGGACGACGAGGCTGGGGACGTGTTGGATGCCGTCTTCAACTACGACGGCAAGCGCATGTCCATTGACGTCGCCGTGGTGGGCGCCCGAGCTGACTTGGCCCGGATCCGCGCAGCGGCCAGCTGGGACGGAGCCGCAGCGGCGGAGGAGGAGAGGGCCAAGCGGAGACACTATGCGATGCTCAACATCTCCCCGTGCGTGCTCGAGCTGGGAGACCGCCCGGGCGAGAGCGCGCAAGCGACCGTCCGCATGTTGGCCGTCGAGGCGCGCGCCTCCGCGCTGGCCGCTGGAAGCAGGTCAGCATCACCGTACTGGCCTTCGTCGCCTGGCACATTGCGAGCGCCTTCGTCTGCCAGGACTCGCTCTCCATGGCAGGATCCAGGCAAGGCCTCGCGGCGGCGGTGGCTGGCCTGAGGGCGGGGGTCGCCGCAGCCGCAAAGAACCGAGGTAGAGGAGGCGAAGAGCGAGGTGGCAAGGACGATGAGGAGGAAGCGAGGATGGCTGCGGAAGGCCAAGACAGAGAGCCGCGAGCAGGAAGAGGCCGAGGGGCCCGAGGAGGGGCGCCGGCGCCGGCGCGGAAGGGCCAAAGGAGGAGGAGGAGGAGGAGAAGGAAGCGGAGGAGGAAGAGAAGGCGGAGGGGGAGATGGAGGCGCACGGAGGACGAGAGGGTGCCGCGAGCAGGAGGAGGTCGAGCGAACTGAGGAGGAGCGCCGGCGCTGGCGCGGACGGGCCAGAAAAGGTAGAGGAGGAGGAAGAGGAGGCGGTGGAGGCCCCAGGAGGAGCGGAGGAGGCGGAGGGAGGCAGAGGCTGAGCGACGCGGGGCGCGCGGTCCGCTCGCTTCGGGGCCCTCACCAGACCCGAGGGCCCTGGGGCACAAGCTGAGGAGGAGGAGATCCGTAGCCATTTTGGCTCAAGCCATTTTGGCTCAAGCCAGTTTGGTTCGAGCGTGCTCGGTCCAGGCGATGGCGCGGGATGGGTCCCAGCATGGGGCTCGTGCAGGCCGCTCTCGTGCAGAACGCTCGGCGGCCGGCCAGCGCGCGAGGGAAGCGGCGGATGCTCTGGTGCAGCGAATCTCCGGACGTCTGGAGAAGGCGCTCAGCATGATCGAGGATCTTGAGGTGGAGATCGCTACGCTAGTGAAGTTTGATGCCGCCGAGGAGTTGCAGGCCCGAGTGAGGCTAATTGTTCCGGTGCTCGCGGCAAGTCTCACGGGCAACACCATCTCGGTGGAGAAGAAGGCCAAACGGAATCTGGCCTCACACGAGTTCTCCATTTCTGCCAAAGACATCTCGGCGGCATCGATGACAGAGCTCAACCGGCTCCAGCGGAGCGCGAGGAGGTCCGTCGCGTCCAAAGTCGAGAACAACTCCTGGTACGACTCTGCGGGCACGCGGGAGCTCGACAATTTGGACAGCGACGGCGACAAGCAGGGCATCTACAGCTACGGCGTTGAGTGCCCCGTGTACCCGTTCCTGGCGCCAGGTGAGTGGCAGGTGATACCCCCGCACGTCGAGGCCAAGGCCTTCGGAGAGGGTCTTGCCGCGGGATGGAGGCTGTCGGCGCAAGGAAGCGGCAACGCCCACCTGTTCGCTGAGACGTCCGAGCACGACGGCGGCGAGCAGACGGCGTGTCAGTTTCCGACCAGGGGCGTGCCCCCCGCTCTGGTCGACGGCTCTGAGGGGGAAGGCGGGGCCAAGAACCCGCTGCAGGACGTCGAGGAGATGCACTCCCAGACAGTCGGGGCCCTAAGTAACAAAAAGGCCGTCAAAGAGGAGCATACTCCACCCTCAGCCGTTCAAGCGGAAGCTGGCCAGGCTGAAGTGTGGTGTTGTCGGGGCCATGACGGAAAAGAGATTGGTTTCCGAGGACACGTCTTGCAATCAACAGTGAGTTTTTTCCGTGGACCTCGTGCCAGTTCATGCTTGTGGGGCTGCTCCTCGGCTCCGCGTGCTCGAGGCTGGCATGAAGGTGCACGTGGAGGGCTTCGTCAGCGTGCTTCGGCTTCGTCGACGCGTTCGTCGTGGTCCTCATCTGAACCCGTTCGGGCTGTGTTTCATCGAGGTACCGTCCGCCAGAGGCTCCAGAGGCTCCAGAGGAGGAGGAGGAGGAGGAGGAGGAGGAGGAGGAGAGGGGGAGGAGGACGAGGCGGAGGAGGAGGAGGAGGAGAAGCAGGAGGAAGAGGAGGGACGAGTTTTACTCCCCGCCGAGAGAGACAGGGTTGGCGGGGGGAGGGGGGACAAAACTAACGACCCTTAGGGGTTAATTATGGTGACGAGAAAGCTGCAAGAGGCCAAACAAAACTCAAAAAACGTCGAACAACGAAAACTTCGATCCCCCCTCGGGCCCTGAGATCGTACAAAGAGAAAACATGACACTTGAAAAACATGCAACGCAACGTCGCGAAACAATGCGACTGTACACTGGGTCCTGGAGGGGCGGTCGCTGCCTGAGCGGAGGGCCGGCGTGGTGGGGCTGGGGCTTCAACGGGGTGGCGCGCTGGAGGGTCCTGGAGCCTGAAAATGGGCGACAACTCGCATGTCTCGAAACGGATCGATCCATGAGGGTCCTGGAGCCTGAAAGTAGACGACAACTCGCATGCGACACGCCTGAAATGCAGACGGACAAAAATGGAGACGATGCCCAACACGACTGTCCCCCAAGACAGACAGCAACCGCTGATGGGCAGGTGACATTTATCACAGATAGTCATCGTCCGCGGCGACACCGAAAGCGAGTCCTGCTCGAAGTGGCCAGACACTGCTGTCGACCTCCGTCCCCACTGCCCCTGCTGCGATGCCGGGTTCTCTCCATCCCGTCGCCGATCCGTCGCCGATGCGGCGCGACCCTCCAGCCCCATCTACGCGGACCGTCAAGGGGGCTTGGGCCCTTACCCAGACATTCCGCGTTCCGCTTTGTCCGATGCGTGGGCACCCGGATGACTCGACCTCTTCCCCAGGACTGCTACTTCATCCCGATTCCTTTTCTAACGGCCCCGAAACGCGAAACTGGTCTTCAAATGCACCGAACTGCGAAACCGGCCGAGTTGTTTTCCCAGCCATCCGATGTCATGCTTTCTTTCGCGACGTGACTCCCCCTGGGTATGAATTCATTTCTGGGGGCGGTGCTTTCATCCCGTGCCGTTTTTGCTGTCAATCGCATGGCAAAAAAACGTAGAAGCCGAACATTGGCAACACTTCCGTGGTGATTGTTCACGACGCGTGTTTTTCTTCGCGTGAGCGTGAGTATCCAAGAGTGGAAAAACATGATGGCATCGAATACCCCAGGACGGTTGAAGGGAGTTGCACTTGATCTTCAGGGCTGAAGTCTGGGGCTCGCTCCTCGGCCTCCCTCTCCGCGTGCGGCCAGGCGGCCAGCGGGCGGGCGCGGGCCCGCCTCCGACCTCCCCGAGGCCCGCGCCAGGGAAGTGGCGGGCGAGGGTGAGGGCCACCTGCTCCCAGGCCTCGTCGTCCTGCGAGGCTCGGTTCCGCCCTCGCCCTCGTCGTCGCAGCGGCCGTGGTGGTCGTCGTCGTGGGTGGTGGTCTGTCGTCGTCGGGGGGTGTGCTATGACCGACGTTTGCTTGGTCAGTTCTTGGGTCGGTTTTTCTGGGACACTGGCCTCTGCGGGGCGCTCCCCTCCGAGGAGGCATCAGGGCCTCCCTCCGAGCGGCGGATTTTTTTTTGCGGTCACGGCGTTTCTCCTTGATGTCGGCCCCAGAAGGACAGTCCACCCGCTGGAAGCAAAAGCACGACGTCGGAGGTCTGGGACCCCCCTGAGGACTGCACGGGAAGAGCGAGAAGCACAGAGCAGGAAGGGATGGCGCGGAGTAGAGCCTGGGAAGAGGCTGTCTACGAACGTGTTCGGCCATGGATGCCTCGTTACAGCCCAACGCATCGTCAATCTTCGGCGGGTCATCGGTGAATTTTCGGCACTTATGGTCGGGCCTTCTGCGCGGAAGCTCGACGGTTGCGCTTCACGAAGGAGTCCGCGAGCGGGTGTCTGCAGGGGTGCGGACCCATGGTTTCCATGATCCACCGCTTAGCAGCCCCCGCGTCAGGCCAGGTGCCAACAACTGCCCTCACACAGTGCTGTTTCCACTCTCTCAGGGTCTGGACGCCAGGGATGTCCATGAGATTGAGCTCGGCGTTGTTTCCGAAAAGTCTCCAATCGGGGCCCATGGGGTTTGCGGCGCACGGAGAAAGCATAGGGGGGGACCAAGACCATTGGGCCCGCCACCTCCGTCACCGCCGGGACCTCCGTTGCCTACAGGTCCACCTGGCGGGTCTCCGGTCGACTTGGACTTGCCCGACTCATCGAGCTGCGCGGCCACAAGCATTCCTGTGCTCGGCGCTGTGCTATGGCCGTCCCCATGGTCACCGTCGTCGCCGTTAGGTCCACCCCCACCACCGCCGGGCGCGGCTGAGCCGCCGGCGAGGGGAAGGCGGCCTGGCAAGTCGCAAATGTCGGGCGGTCCCGAGAACTTGGTGTTAAACGGTACATTTTTTGGGTGCGACCCAGGAGCTGTCGCCGCGAGCGAGGTCCCGCGGGGTTCACATGGCGCCTCCACGGCTGGCCCTGGCATTAAACGCGAATTCGAAAGAGGGGCCCGCGGCGCGTATGGCGAGGTAGACGGGGGCACGCGGTCGAAGCGCGACTCTACGGTCTGGAAGGACGGCGCGCCAATGACCGTTATCACGCTGCTGGCCTCTCGGCCCAGGCCAGCTTCCCTCTGCGACGCGAGCGCCTTTGACTTTTGCAGCATTTCTTAATCTGCTTTCGACGCTGCCATGGCTTTCTTGAGAGCGGCTCACTCTGCCATATTGTCAGCAATCTCTTGCACCTGGGGTTCTCGTTGGCGGGGGAACTCGTCCGAACGTTCAGAGTGCCCCTTCATCGCGTCGCCTGCATATTCAGCCATTCCCTGATTCAGCCTTCTCGCGGTAAATATTTTCAAGGATGCTGAGTTGCTCTGCCTCAATCACGGGGTCACCTTGTTCGCCGGCTTTTGCAAGCGCATGCGGCGCGCCACTTGGCCCCTGCATCTATATGTTCCTTGCAGGCGGGGCCCCCGCAGCTCGCGCGCAATCCGCGTTCTGGCTATGGGCATATGTGGCATGACTCATCAGGCGCACCCATCTGGGGCCGGGGCGGCCGACCCGCCCTCGCCCAGATGGGGCGAGCAACAATCAGGCTAGATGGCGGTTCGACACCTCGCGGCTGAGCCGGTGACGCTGCAGATTGTGGCAACTGGGGTCGCAACATTGGCCCCTCCGCTCGGTCGGCCGGCGCCGAATTTGCCCGCGCCTGCGGTGCGACACCTCGCGGCAGAGCCGTAGGCGCCGGTCGCGCCTGCTCAGCAGCCGGGCTGGGCCGTCTCGTTGACTTGAGTTTCTCGAGCGATTCCCTAGCCCTCTTGCGTTGCTCTAAGTCATATTCAAACCTTCGAATTCCATCGCTGACAGCACGAATAACGAGTGCATCTGTCTTGCAATGCTCGTCTGCACGTGCTTCTACGTGATCCCAGGCCTGCGCCGTTCGCTGTCGATCGCCCCCATCGCAGCGCCGCGGCTTTCCTGTCCTGCCCGTGGAGGGCGCGCGCTGCCTCCAGCTTGATATTTTCCGCCTCGAGACCAGCAGCTCCGCGTAAACTGCGGAACGCCTCGGTTTCTTGTGCCGCCTGTTCTCGGGCTACTGTCTCCCCTTCCCGTCTCGCAGCGTCCGCGGCGTTCTGAGCCTCGATGTGTTATTTTTCCGCCTGGCGCTGCGGTGATGACAACATCTGCTCGGCCGCTCCTTGAATCGCCCACTTGTCTCGCCCCTCTCGCGCAAGTCGCCGCTGAGCCGCGCTCGCAAGCTCGGCCGCGCCAACTCCCGCGGGTCTTATACGTCTCTGGGCATATGCTGCCATGGCGGCCTTATCTTGCTCGGCCCCGCGCGCGATGGCTGCCTCTCCGACCTCGCCCCCGCGGGCAATGGCAGGCTTCTCTGCTTCGGATTCGGCGAGGCGGCGGTTGGCATCGCCAACGGCTCTTTGGTTTTCTCGCGCCCGAAGGATGATCTGCTGCATCTGGGCGCTCGCTGCCCGCAACTGCTCTTGATCTAGTCTCTGTTCCTCTCCCCATTCTCCGATGGCGATAGATCGGCAGTTGCGCTCTTCCAGCGCGACGCTGTCCTGGCGGGGCCACGAGACGCTGCGCCGAGGGCAAACTCGAGAGCATCGAGCACGCGCGGGGCGACCGCGAGGGCCCCCCCGGCCCGCGCGCCTCCCCCGGGCACCGGTTCTCGGCCTGCGGCGGGCAACCCGGGCCTGCATTCCAGCGGGTCTCTCGAACTGAGAAGCTACTCGCGGTCCGACTCGATGGTGGTCGCGGAGACGCGAGGGCGTCAAATCTTCTCGAGATCGACCGCCCCGTTCTTGGGGCCTTATCCTCGCCTCTACTAGATGTCGGGGTCCCCTGTCCCCTTGTCCTTGACGCTATGTCTTGACGTGACCTCGGCAATCTGCCTTCCTCCTCGTCCAGCTCATCGCGCGTGACGTGCTCGTGGAGTTCTGGCGCCCTGCTATGGCCCGCCCTCGAAAACTCGGGGATTCGCACCGGTCGCCCAGCTGTTGTTCTGATACTCTGGCGATAAAAATCCCCCCCCCAGAGGCGGGGGGTCGAGGTCGTCCACCTCGCTCTTGGGCTTCTTTATCTGCGGCAGTGGAGTTGCGCCAGTTGGCCCCCTGGCATGTCGCGCAGAACGCGAGGCTTCAGCAGCAGGCGCCGTCGGCTGAGCCGAGGCCCCCCCCTCCGCCGATGCCGGAGGGCCGCCTCTGGGCGCGCCCGCATTGCCAACCGATTCTTCACCCGGAGATTCTTGACCCCCCCCTGTCGGCACCGCCGAGCCGTCCGCCTGAGGGGCCCCCCGCGCGAGGGTACAGCGCCGAGGTTTAGGGCGGAAGAACTGTCGAAGACAGCCCCCGAGCCTCGTCGCCACAGTCAAGTGCGGTTTGTCGGAAACCTTCCATCGGTTCGTAATCGACCGCTTCTGCTTCCGATCGGCCGCCGTCTGAGACGCGGCTACCCGGCAGATTCTAGAGAGGGGGCGGTTGACTAGAGGGTCCGGGGGAACATGCAAAAGTCAGCATATTCTTAATCTTTTTCGAGTGAATGCAAGCTATATTCCCCTGATTGCCCGTCGCTCTCTTCTCCGTTCTTCCTGCTCATCGCGAACAGTACCGCTTGTCCGCCGGGAGGGTGTTCTCCGCCGGCTGGGCCGGCGAGACCATTCCCCGGCGTGTATTCTTCGGCGTGGCCTGAATGAACTGAGAACCTCGGACTCGAGGGCACTGAAGAGACTTCTGATGACCTCCTGTGGGTAGCTCTGGCTACGCCAAGCCCCCTGCCTGGCGTCTGCGCTCTTTCTTCTAACGGCTTCCCCACAGGGTAATCCTCCTCACTCAAATCAAGTACCGAATCCAACGCTGACCGTTTGGGAAGATTGAGAGGAGGTCGCCCGTCTGGGGCGCCGTTCTTGGAAACTCGCTCGGGACGATGTTGTTTAAGTAGTCATCCGAGCGGTCCTTTCGCCTGTCCATGGCCTGCCGGAGCCAACGGCTAAGCCGTCGCTTCAGTTGATAACCACCTTTTTTCTCTGGATATTAGCTATCCCCGCAATGTCTTCTGATATGGTATCCTGACTCCCCGAAGGTATGTTTCTGGAGGAACGCTCAGGGGGCTCCAGCGACTCCATGGCGGGGATGATAAATTCCGTTGAGCGGGTAAGAGATATATGTGGTAGGGAGGAGGCCGGCCGGCCGACGACACGACGACGACGAGCGGGACGTCCCTCGGCACGCGCGCGGCAGCACGCTCCTTTATGCTTGATCTCTCAGTATCGTAATGGTCGCCGGTGGCCCATCAGTGCATGAAGAAAAACAGCAACGGAGGTAAAATGGAGGTGCGGAGAGGAGCGTATTAACTTGCCGGCTCTGTCTGCGGTAGCTCCGAGGAGTCGCTGGCAGATGCGAATCTGCAGCACGGGAGGGGGGGATGGAGGAACAGCGAGGATCGAGGAGATGGAACGAGAAGAAGGAGCGAGGACGAGGAGGGCGAGTATGACGAGGACGCCGATCGGCACGAGGGGAAGTCGCACATCTGCGGGGTCGTCCGCGCCACTGCACGTCAGCACTCGGATCGGAAGCGGCGTCTCACGGCGATGATGAGCCGCCCAGCTTCGCTCTGCGCGAAGCAAGGTTACCTTCGCGCCCACGTGCCGCCGCCCCCTGGTCTTGGCAGCTTGTACTTCTAGCAGCCGCTTGCGAGGGGCTTCGGCCGAGGACCGGAGGCACCGTACAGATGGCGATCCTATAAAACACTGCATTGATCTCGGATGCCTCGTCATCGTCACCATCATCATGGTGGCCATCCTCAACACCATTATCGTCATCAGCATCAGCAAACATCATCATCAGCATCACCACCATCACCATCATCATTCTCAAGAACATCATAATCGTAATCATGATCATGATCATGAGCATGATCAACATCGTCATCACAATGACCATCACCATCACCGTTCCCATCGCCACCGCCGCCATCATCAGCATCATCACCCTCATACTCATCCTCATCCTCATCATCGTCACCACCAGAACATCACCGTCACCATCACCACCACTACCACTGCCGCCGCCATCATCATCATCATGATCAGCATCATCATCACTATCATCACCATCATCATCACCATCACCATCATCCTCATCCTCATCTTCATCCTGATCCCCACGCTCATCGTCATCCACATCCTCGTCCTCATCCACATCCTCAACCTTATCCTGCTCATCGTTATCATCATCGTCGTCGCCGTCATTCATCATCATCATCGTCATCATCCTCATCCTCACCATCATCCTGACCCCCACGCTCATCTTCATCCACATCCTCATCCACATCCTCAACCTTATCCTCCTCATCGTTATCATCAACATCGTCGTCGTCGTCATTCATCATCATTGTGAGAATCACCATCATCGTTGCAAACATAGTTACCATCGTCGTATCGTCCTCGTCGCAGTTATCCACCGACAACGTGGTGCTAGTCAACACCAGCTGGGGCCGTCGTTGCCATTGTCCACGTCGTCGTGGGCACCGCTCTCACATGCAGCACCGCCGCTGCCGTCGTCATCGTGTGGACGTCTGGCTCTGGTCCCCTCGCGTCCTCTGGCATCGCGGGGCCGCTGAGCGACATCACCACCTCGGGCGGCTCAAGGGGTAGATGCGGAGGCGAAGATCGAGGGTGCAGTGACATGCCAGGCAAGGGCCGAGGGGCAAGCAGGAAGGGAAGAGCCAGGATTGATGCGCCCGAGACAGTGGGGACGGCTTCGGCGGGGGCGACTCCCAGAAGGAAACCTCGTCTGATACAGACAGCGGCAGCTGTTCGGCAGACGACTTTCTCCACCAAGGCGAAGGCGAGGCCTGCTCAAAACAGACAGGACGTGCTGTCAGCCATCGTCCTCGCCAGTTTCGTTCCTATTCAAGCCCTCTCGACAAGATCAGGGACCAAATCAAGGACGGGAAGAGACATGCGATACATTGTCTGCCGATGTTCCTCTCCGGCACGCGGTAACCTGGATCGGGAACCCTGGTCGACTACGAGGTAGATGCCTCCCAAATACGGGTCAACGGTGGGGGCCGGCTGCGCATGGCCCCCCAACCCGTGTCAGCGAGAGGGACCGGAAGGGACTGGCTGACCCCCAAAACGTGCGCCCAGAACCTCCTTGTCCACCGAGCGCCCGGGGCGCCTCGCGGCGGCACAGCGTGACGGGGCGGCGGAACTTCACGGTCAGCTGCTGCAGGTCGATCCTGAGCTGCCTGACGTCCTTGTGAGTCCAGCTCCTCCTCCTCCTCCTCCTGCTCCTCGTGCTCGCCCTCGCCATCCTGATCCTCACGCTTCTCCTCCTCACGCTCGTGCTCGCCATCCGCATTCCCTACCTCGTCGAGGAAGGGGATAGCTGTTGCCTCCTGGCTACGCCACGCATGCTTGAACATCAACAAACAACGCTCAATTTAAACGGTTGGACTCCAAATGCTGCTTGAACAATTTGCCCGTATCTGACGGAAAACCTGCTGATAACCTCCTGAGCGGCTGGTTGTCACAGTGCCCCACAGACTTGGGTAACTCTCTTTTCTCATTCTTGACTGCCTGTGCGGCGATGCAGCCTCGCCCAAAGTACGCACTGATTCCTCACTCTTCGCTGAACTCATAGTTGTGTCTCTTGGAAAATGTGTCCATTTACACGAGGAGCCTGGGGGATCTTCGCGACTACCTTGAGGCGGCCCTAATTGTACGGAGCCACCAAAACTTGCAAGTGAAAGATCTGGGGGCCGAGCCGCCGCAAACACTGCAATTCATCCTGGAACCCAGTCGTATTCTTGGGGAATTGGCAATTCGCGACAGCCGGGTCTTGATATCCTGGGTCTCCTTGGCTTTCTGAAGAGGAAGGGGAGGACAAGGAGTAGGACAACGATGGCGACGACGGCGAGGACCTTCTCGTTTTACTCCCCCTCGTTTTCCTGCTCCTCCTCCTCCTCCTTCTCCTCCTCCTAGCCCTGCATTGGCAGAAAAAAGGGGGCATGACATCTGGAAGATGGTATTGCCATCCCTCTAGTCCACACCCCCCGCTTGAACTCTCCCGACAGATGCCTCGGAAGAGGAAATCCCACCAGCCCTTGGGGGCGTGAGTGGTTGAGAGCGGTTTCTCTTCCAAACCCCCAATATTCTCCTTCGGGGAAGGGTTTACCACTTCCCCTAACCTCCCCCTGGACCTGGACGGGCCGTTCCGCGATGCGTTGGAGCGTCCAAGATGGCCTCGGCGAGAAAGCCCAAACCAATGATGTTACCGAAGTTTTGGTCACATGTTAGCCTCCTTGGGGGGGGGCGCTAATTTACTACGGTCACTCCTTTGAACGACCTCCTACAAGATGGCCCCACGATGGCGCCCGAGGCTCCCAAGAGTGCCCCAAGACGGCACCGCGAGGTGCACAGGAGGTCCCCAAGAGACCCCCAGGAGGCCCCCAAGAGGCTCCCACGAGACCCCCAAGAGGCTCCCAGAGGCTCCCCTCGAGGCACCCAAGACGCCCAAAGAGGTCTCGGCGAGACGGCCAAAAGCAATGTTGTTACGAGGGTGCTGGCCAGGTGTTGGCCTCCTGTGGGGGGGGGCTAATTTACTACGGCCCCTCCTTTGATCGATCTCCTCCTGGATGGCCCCAAAACGGACCCCGAGGCTGCCAAGAGTGCCCCAGGAGGTGACCAAGTGCCCCCTGGAGGCCCCCAAGAGACCCAAAAGATGCCCCAAAGATGCCGTCAAGCGGCCCCTAAGAAACTCGCTCACCCGACGTACCCAAGACGCTTCATGAGGCCCCGGGGGACGCCACGAGGCCCCCTATGAGGCCTTACGAGGCGGATGATGGTGATGATGAGGCGATGATGGTGGTGTGAGGAGGATTATGGTGATGATGACTCCAGTGGTGGTGATGATGATGGTGACGGTAGTACTGTTGATGATGATTGTTAGGCTGATGATGAAGATGACGATGACGATGACGATGGTAACGTGATGATGGTGATGATGATGCTGGAGGTGGTGGTGATAGTGATGATAATGATGATGGTGATGATGATGATCATTATTATGAGGATGTTGGTGATGCTGGTTATGATGATGATGATGATGATGATGATGATGATGATGATGATGATGATGATGATTACGATGACGACTTCTATCTGCGAGCGCATGCAAAGCCACCCTTGGCCACCCTGCTTGCCTGCCCAGTCTTTGAAGCTCAGCTCGGATGCCCCGTGGATGTCGGTTGTGCGCGTGTGCCACGCACCTCGACCTGAACCTTGAACCAAAATGGTTACGGATGATGCTGGTGGTAATGTCAATAACAGTAACAATAGCAATAATGATGATGATGCCTATGCGTCTGCTAATGATGATGATCATGATGATGATGCTGATGGTGATGATCGTGCCAGTTACCCTGGCCAGGACATCATGTTGTGTGTCTCGGGCCAGGCGGGTCCGACGAACAGGGAGGCTCCTGGGCTGCGCTCGGCGGAACGGGAGAGAGAACAAGAGATAGGAATAGGGGACCGGCACACACCACAACACAGCACAACGCACACGAACGATGAGGAGAGAGAGAAGAACACAAGAACAAGGCGGCGCTGGTGGGCGCAGAAAAGGCTTGAGCCGTGGCGGTGGCAGATACCTCAAGCTCGCAACCGCACGGCCCTCCCACGTTCTACGATTAAAGTTCAAGAGCCCGCCATCGTGCCACTGACCCTGGCCATGAGACTCTTTTGTGTGCCTCGGGCAAAGCGGGCCCGACGAACAAAGAAGCTCCTGGGCTGCGCTCGGCGGAACGGGAGAAAGAGAGAGAGAGAGAGAACAAAAAAAAAAAAAGAGAGGAAGAGGGGACAGGCACACACCACACCACACCACAACACAACACAACACAACACACACGAACGAGGAGGAGAGAGAGAAGACGACAAGAAAACAGCGGCGCGGGTGGGCACAGAAAAAGCTTGACCCGTGGCGGTTGCAGACATAGCAAGCTCGCAACCGCACGGCCCTCCAACGTTCTACGATGAAAGTTCAAGAGCCCGCCTTCGTGCCACTGACCCTGGCCAGGAGATTATTTTGTGTGTCTCGGGCCAGGCGGGTCCGAAGAAAAGGGTGGCCCCTGGGCTGCGCTCGGCGGAATGGGAGAGAGAGAGAGAGAGAGGAGGGGGGGAAAAACAAGAGAGAGGAAGAGGGGAGAGGCACACACCACAGCACAACACAACACACACGAACGAGGAGGAGAAAGAGAATATCCTTAGACACCCCGAGCGGGATTCGAGCATGTGCCGCATCATTAAAATGGCATGATCTGCCGCAGGCGGCATAAACGATTCGAGTCGATAAAGATGTTCAAAGCTTGGGCAAAACAGGAACAGAAAGGGGGGGGCTAACGCTCGGCAGCGCGAGTCCAGAGTTTGCCCGGGCTCTGATCCACTCCAGTCAGGTCCCACCAGCCCTCTGGGCGCAGGTGGTCTAGGGCGTTTTCTTGTTCCAACCTCCTGCCTTTCCCTGCTCGGGAGGTTTACCTCCCCCCCCTCCCTGCGTCTGGACGGGTTCCCCCCCGAGGTGGCAAAGGGTCCGTTTTTGGTCCAAGGTGGGTCCAATAGGGCTTCAGAGAGCGCAGTATGGCCTCCAAGATGGTCGAAGATAGCGGTACATGGGCCAAAATAGCCTCCGGCACACGTCCACGAGGCCTCAAAACGGCCCCAAGACGGCTTCAAGTGCCCTCCGAGGCCTCCAAGGATCCCCCCAAAAGGCCACAATCCTTCAAAAACCTGTGGACAACCAGTGTTGATTGCATTCTCGCTCTTTCGCCTCCGATGGGCTCTCGAAGCCTCAAGAAGGCCCCCAAATGGCCCAAGATAGCCCCAACAGGGGCCCAAGAGGGCCCCAAGACGGCCCCAAGAGTGCCCAAGACCGTTCCAAGAGCGGGCCAAAAGAGCCCCAAGACGGCATTTGTTAGCCTCCGAAGGGGGGGGGGCAGGAATTAAGGACCCCCGCTTTTTTTTGTTTACGATAAGGTCCAACACGACCCCAAGAGGCCCCCAAGGCATCCTCAAAGAGCCCCAAGGGGAGACCCCCAGACCCGCCAAAAGAGCCCCGAGAGGGTCCCAAGACGCCCTGAAGACCCCCAAGAGGGCTCCAGGAAAGCCTTAAGAGGACCTCAAGAGAGTCCCAAGAGGGCCCCAAGAGAACCCCAAGAAAGCAACAAAATGGTTCCACGTCTCGAAACGCACGCGAGTTTAAGATACAAATCGGTGCACAACCATTACGAGTCAGCGAAACACCCCTCGCCCCTCATCGGAGCACCATCGAAGCTTGCACCGGCTTCCATCTTAAAATTCAACGCAAGAAGCTATTCGTGATCCTTGTTTTCCCGAAAACGGCTGCGCGACTGCATGTGTCCTGCCGCCCCTGATTCACCAACTCCCCTGTTGATCGTTTCTGGATGGGCTGGTGGTGATTTTTCAAACTGCGGCCGCACACAAGGCGCCGGCAGCGTCAGCAGAGTTGGCTCGGGCTACGAGCGACCCAGTTACCGGCGCGCGCGCCGAGCAAGGCAAGACCCGCTGCTAGCAGGGATGCGCGAAGCGTCGAGAATGTGTCCGAGCTCTGACACACTCCAGTCCGGACGATATGAGGCTTCAACGAATGACTGTAGACACCCCCTCGACCGTGACAAAGAGATGGGAGCTGCACGGAAAAACTTGGAGCCCAGACTGGCACCCTGGTCCTTTTACGCCAACGAGCCCCGAAGCCGCAGTAATCCACAGTGCAGGCCTGGCTGGTCGAGCGACGCGCCAAGCTCTAGAGCGTCGGGGCTCTCCACGACCAGCTGGTCCCGCGATTCTCGAGGGCAGCGCGGGCGCCGGCGCGAAGGCGGGCTCGGGCCACCCGCAAACACACACCAGCTTGAACCAGGGGGCCCGTGGCGGAATTGGGACCAGGTGCAGCAAGGGGTCTCCATCCATACAGCCGAACCACATTGCGCGAAATACACCCTAAACTTGTCGACTGAATCACACGGCGGTTCAAGTATAACCAGGGGTGTTCCAAATTATCAACTGAAATCGCGGCGCAGCCCAGGGCCCTCATTGCCTTGGACAAACCCGCCTCGCCCGCGAAACCATTCAAGAAAACCTGACTTTGGCGACTTTTTGCGCCAGGGCGCACCGCAGAGCGCGGCGAAGGCGAAGGCTTACCTCGGAGTCCGTCAGCGCCGGCCCGTCAGGGAAGGCGCAGTC